ACGCAACGCGTAAAAAGACAGTATAAGTCATTATAATCCATAATTATGTCCCCACTGGATGCAACGAATGCCTCGTTTATAATGGGTTTTCATGTTTTTGAATCATCACTCCGGCCTGACAGGGCATCATCACAATATGGTAAGGGACGTAACATTTCCGTCACACGCTTTTTCAGACCGATGAGCGGGGCATAGAGGAGAAACAATAATGTACAGTATGTGGAAAATAATGTGTTTTTTGAACCTTAAACTGCATAAACACATTTCATTACACCAAATACACCAAATAATGTTCTTTTTAGCAGCATCACATGACCCCTTTAATAAACACAATTTTCTTTGTTCCTGGGAATTATATTTCGGACCACTAATAAAAACTTTATAAGACAATTCTACTCCAAAGCCTTCAAACCAACTTTTTAAAACACCAAAAAGACCTCCTAACCTCCCACACTGAATAAATAAATGAGCCACTGTTTCTACTATTCTGCAAAAAAGATAATGTTTTCCAACTGCTGGATTCAGGTGCACCACGTGTGTGTTTGCAGCTATAATACCATGAATTAGTCTCCACTGTAAATCTGCTGTACGTTTCTATATAGGAGACTTGTACAGAGATCTCCAGCATCCTCTGAAGTCTGGCCCAAACAATTCTGACCACCTCCAAGTCTTTTTCAGAACATGCCAAAGAGACATTTTGACGCACACAGAATATAATGGATTTTTTTTTTCTATTGTCCTGAAAATTCCCCAATTCAGATGTTTTAAAAGTCAAAATCATGCCGCTTTCTTCCTGTATTCCTCCTTTGCCACAGCAGACACAGAAATCAATGGAAACTATATATATATATATAATTTTTCCCCCTTCTCTTGCACTTGCTGAAGTCCTAACAATTCTCTGCAGACTCCTGCAAAGCTGCATGCACTTCCTTCAGTATTTGAGACAGGATGACAACAGAATTTATTCCAGTGTTCTGTAATGATTCCACAGTTTTCCACCCATTGGCATCTCTAAGATGCTTTACTTTGGTACATCCAGCTCTAATCAGACAGTTTCTCAAACTTCCTGAAGAGAAACATTTGGTCTGAATAAATTAATTGTGAAACAAAGGTTCCTCCATAATCCATTCTTCTTGTTCAGATCCTCTGCTTACAGAAAAAATGTAATATTCCATGCTTGTGGCATGGAGCAATAGAATGGAGTCAAATTGCTCAAGTCCAGTTCATTTATTCTAATTAAAAATGATTGCTTATCATATCCAAGACTTGATGTCCTTCTCAGCAAAACACATGCCACATTACTCCACTCGATCTCTTCTACATACAACAGTCTATTTAAAGCTTGAAGACGAAAGATATTGATCTGACTTCCGATGTCTACAAGATCTTGTCTTCCTTCTTGAGTTGACAAATACAAAGTAGGCCCAGGAATCCAGTGCTGGCCTGACCAAAAGAAGTCCACCAACTTTCTCTGGATATCTTTGATCATTTGATATGATGGATATCTTTTATCTGAGCCCTACCTAGGTCAGTGACCTATAACAGACAGAAGAGTGAAAACATTTGAAAGTGTGGAATTTAATCTTAACACAAATAAAAGAGTCCCAAGAAAGCAGCATCACAAAAGGCTGAAAAATAGACAATGTCTTAGATTTATCCCCCATGGATCTAGGATGTTTTGTCTTCTAGCTAGTCAAAAACATTCTACTACCTTTTCTACTCACCCTGTTGACACTTGTATGAATGGCATTTCAGGCAAAGGCAGATGATACTGAACAAGGATGCAGAGTGTGGTTGAACACCCACTAACACCAAAAAAGTCTAATGATATTATATAAGATTTAGTATAAATATGTCAGTTGTTTGGCAAAGATTTGCATCTTTTTTCCCAAAATTATTTGGACAGGTTGAGATATTATTGCATTCTTTGGAGCTATGGCAGTGCCTGTACAAAGCACCACACAATGGCTTTTCTCTTTTTTTAATTTTCACAGCTTGGTTATGAAAAAAAAAGCTTCTAATTTTTTGATTGTGTGCTTTGCGGTGATGGCAAAAGAAAGATTGAATGGTTCATTTGTGAATTCGACTTGAAACAGCTATTTAATATTCTCAAATCAGATGTGCTACTAAAAATTCATAATAATGTCAGAATGAGCTCTAACCTGTTTTAGGTCTATCTAATTTGTTTCACATTAGAAACTTCTCTTTTACTGAAGATTTTTTAAAATTGTTTCTTTGATTTAAATGCAAGGTTCATGTACACCGTTCCACCACAAATAAACATTTGATAATTAATTTATAAGGATTTACATAGTCAAATCAGAATTTTCTAATCTTGCCGATAATCAGCTGATAGTCGAATCATATGTTTGGGACGGGGGGAAATACATTACCAAGAGTCAAGTCAGACATTCGACAGTCATAATTACTGATGTTAACACACAGGGAAAATGTGTAACAGACGCCTCGCAGATACAAACGGGGTAAATAATGTTTTATGTTTTGATTAAAAGATAGTTAACATTAAACGTCAGCAAAACCCTAAGAATTCACAAATTTTTTTTACAACAGTGCTCTCATTATAACGTTATGTATATGACAGTAGTTATTAATGTTCTGCATTTCTGTTTTGAGCTGCGCGTGCTGAATATGACCAGTAGAATGAAGCATATGATAGCATGTTTTTAATCAATGGGATTTAACTAATTTATCTCATATAAAATACGCTTCATTATTTATACAACATAACGTTAATATTACGACTTATAGGCTATCTGCACAAAATGCCCCAAATGCAGAAGTGAAAATGTCTGCGCGGCTCTAAATGAACTCCATTTGTGGACATGTTCTTAACGCAACAACGTGCAGAATCACAGCAACTAAACTCTAAAAATTCACAGCGTTTTATTATAATAGTGTTCTCATTATAATGGTATGTATATGACAGTCCCAGTCATTAATACAATTCTGCATTGTTGTTTGTCCTGCTCGCGCTGCGCGCTGAAAAGATGAAGTGTTTTACTGCAGCGTAACTCAACCAAATGCATCTTATGCGAGATAAATAATATGTACATGATATATATAAACCGGCTGAAATGTTTTGAAATCACTTGTACCCTACCTGATGGAAAAAATCCAGTCTTTCACTCTGCCTGTGTCAGTTTGAGTCTTGTTAAAGTTAAATCAATGCGCCAAGATGCTCCTCTGTCAGTCACGGATTATGGAAAGTGAAACTTAAATCTACGTATAGGGGTGGTTGGATTTATTCATGCATGTTAAAATATTTATTTAAAGCTTCTTTCTTTTCAGATTCTTATTTACAGCATTAACAGAATAGGCTGAATATTGACTTATTGGGAGAAAACCGGTAGTTCTATGTGAAATCAGACATTGAGCCTGAATCAGACATATAACCAAAATGGCATGATCATAATACTTCAGCGAATATTCGACTGTGAGATTGGGAGTCGAATCAGGCTCCTCCTATAGAAGCAACACATCTTTGACTATTCTGGGTCACCCCTAATTTAGTGATGTTAATTTTAAGGCTTGAAGAGTTATTATTTTTCTTACCCACCTATTCTTCAGTGTATTGCCTGGGTTAAATGTTAATTGTGTTTTGTGTTACTACCTGTTTCTATTTTTATACTTGTTGAACAAAGTTTATTTTTAATAAAGCTGCTGTGTAAAAGCCTCTGCAACAAATACCGTTTTGACTGCTGGTTTATTCATATATTGATTACTTGTGAACTCATTAAGTTGGTCAAGGTTACATTTGTAACAAGAGTTGACTTTGCAGTTTTAGCTATATTGAGTATGCACAAGACTAGATAATGATCTGAGATATCACCGCTCTGCTGCAGGATTTCAACACCATTAACATCAATTCCATGTGATAGTATTAAATCTAAAGTATGATTACGACAATGAGTAGGCCCTGACACGTGTTGTCTAACCCCAGTGGAGTTCAGAATGTCTATAAATGCTGATACCAGTTCATCTTTTTCATTATCAGCATGGATATTCAAATCACCAACGATTAAGACTTTATCTGCAGCCAGCACTAACTCGGATAGAAAACCTGCAAATTATTTGATAAAGTCTGTATGGTGCCCTGGTGGCATGTATACAGTAGCCAATACAAATGTCATAGGGGACTTATCATTAACACTTGTTTCTCTGGATAATATTATATTTACATTTACATAATGAAGCACCATTACTTTAAACGAATTATACTTTAAACCAGACCTCTGAGAAATATTGAAAATATTGCTATAAATTGTATCAACACATCCTACTTTAACTTTTGGATGCAGCAGAAATCTTGGTGCTATTGTAGAAAGGGATCTAATATTTTCATTAAGCTAAGCTTTATCATTTGTTTATCTGTATTATATCTGTTTTTTATTTGTTGAACATCAATTAAATTGTTACCCTTAAATAGTTTTTTTTTTTGCTAGTTCAGGAAACAGAAACAGTCTCTATAGTATGATATCTAGGTGAATGAGTTGTGCTGAGAATGACCTGACTTCTGTGAGGGGAGGTGGCTAGCAGACGGTCGGCTTGCCAGTCTGTCTACTTCCTGACTTGGGCCCCAGTTAGTCAAGTAAAAACTCTAAGACTGTGCCATAGAGAAGAGTGGCACCACCCTTGGAGGGATGAAGACCATCTATTTTCAGCAGGTCAGGTCTGCCCCAAAAACTAGTCCAACTGTTTATGAAACCAATGTTATTCTGCGGGAACCACTTTAGACATCCAGCCATTGAGTGATGACAGTTTGCTATGTATCTCGTCACCACGGTAAGCAGGGAGGGGACCAGAGCATATTACAGTGTCTGACATTGTACTTTTAAGTTCACACATCTCTTTAATGTTATTTTTAGTGCTCTCCGTCTGGCGAAGTCGAACATCATTAGTGCCAACGTGAATAACAATCTTTTAAGGGGTCATATGACGTTGCTAAAACGAACATTATTTGGTGTATTTGGTGTAATGCAATGTGTTTATGTGGTTTAAGGTTAAAAAAACACATTATTTTCCACATACTGTACGTTATTGTTGCTCCTCTATGCCCCGCCTTTCTGAAACGCGTCGATTTTTACAAAGCTCATCGTTCTGAAAAGCGAGGTGTACACTGATTGGCCAGCTATCCAGTGCGTTGTGATTGGCTGAATACCTCAAGCGTGTGACGGAAATGTTATGTCCCTTACCATACTGTGATGCCGTGTCTCGGAGTGACGAGACAAAACCAATAAAACCCATTACAAACGAGGCATTTGTTGCATCCAGTGAGGACACAATTACGGATTATAATGACGTATACTGTCTTATTACGCGTTGCATTGCGTATCTCGCGCCCCATAAACATAAAACCATGTCTGCATTTGTGATCGGAGAAACGACAAACAACAAGCGCTACTCTACACTGCTCAAAACTCGCGTTTGAATCATCAGTGGCAAATTCTTTAAATATGAAAACGTACTTACAGGCTGTGAGTCAGAAGCGCCAGACTGTCCTTGCAAAGTTGGAATTGCCCCACTTTATAGAAACAACCTCTTTATTTTCACATTCCATACAAAAGGATTGCCAATAACTAGGGCACTTTCATCAGGTTTCTCAGTGGGTGCATTACTGAGTGGGGAGAAACTGTTTAAGGTTTTGATTGGAAAGGAAGAGTGGTGTTTTGTCCCTTGACTATGGGTGACTCACTGTCACCCAGCCACCCTCTTGCGGGGGCTCTGGAACCGAACAATGTACATGATTCGCTAAGTTAGTCCCATCCAAAGCCATATCTAAGGCCCTCATATTCTTACTGTGCTCAAGTAAATTTTGGATGCATGTCTCTAGTTCTGAAATCTTCTCTGTCAGCCTAAGTGTTTCCTTGCATTTATCACATGTGAATCCTTCATCGCTGACAGAGAAAGCTACACTATATGTGGCAAGTGACTAGAAAAAAAAGTTCAAGACAAACTTTAAGTTGGCTTGAGAAATCCTGACCAGAAAGTTTGAAAAAGTTTAAAAGTTTTTATGTTTCAAAAGATTTATAAATTTTAAGTTTGATGGTTTTCAGTCTGAAATAGAAAAAGTAGTTTAAAGTTTAAAGTAGTTTTAAAGCTTAAAGCTTTAAGTGTCCATAAGTGTTTAAGTGTTTTTTTAAGTGTCCATAAGTGTCTTTATTTAAAATAAAAAATATAAATAGTAAATAATATAAACCCTTACATTATTTTGGAAGTGATGATGACCGTTCCATGAATGAAATGTTTCCCAAAATTGTGCTTGGTTTAAGTTTGAGATCATCTGTATTTCTCTCTCTCCCCCCTCACCCTCTCTCTCTCTCTCTCCCTCCGCCTGCGTGAGTGTGCTCATGGCTGTGTGTGTCGAGCCCCCACCGCTCCTGTCATTTCGGTCCGAGAGAAAGTGGATAAGTTTGGCAAAAGTTTTAAATGCACTACATCTATCTCAAAGAGTGATATTACTTTAATGTTTAAATAAACAGATTCCCTATTCATCTGATGTCCAGCGGGTCTTTTTATATTTTAACTAAGTTTCCTATTTTAAGCATGGTATGCTTACATGGTCTACAATGGCTTAGTGGTCTACGCAGTCATAGTGTGGAGCAATAGTTCGTTTTTGATCATCGTATCTAATTTCCGTCTCAAACGGGGTTTAAAATGCGTTTAGCTAATATCACATCTATTTTAAATATTAATTAACCTTTATTCATCATTTTTTAAAAATTTGGTTATGTTTTATTTCACAATGTCGATCTGTTTAAACAGATGTTCTCACGGAGTTCGAACAAACCATTATGTTATGTAAAAAAACAGTAGTAGGCCCTACTAGGTGTTTGTACACATGTTTCAGATCCGTGACGATGTAAATATTGTCTTTTGTTACAGTTGTAATCTACACATTCCTAAGTTCTCTGTCACCGCTCAAAATCACATCTGCTTAAAAAAACTAATAAACTATCTTTAACCTACGGCTATATATATGTTTGATGTTAAAATTATCTTTACTATTCATATCATTTAAATATTTTAATATCCATTTTATGTTCTTTTAGTTACATTTGTTATTTCTTTATTCACCCACAGATTTTGCAAGTCTCAACACACACACACACACACACACACGTTGTTTTTTATGTTTTCTGGGGACGCTCCATAGCCGTAATGATTTTGTACTGTACAAACACCTGCCCGTCACACAAAAATCTCTGCATATGCTTACATTTTTAATTAAATATTGTTTGTAAGCAATTTGAATTATGACGACTCAAGAAATTCCATCATAAACACATTTACGTTGTTATATCAGTGTAATACCCACGTCATTACAGAAATTTGCATCCTGATAAGTCATATAAACAAGAACACACATACATAAACATTACAGGCTAAAAGAGACTTATCCCCATTTTAAAGAATATGACAGCATAGTA